CGTTGGTGCACGAATTGCATGGTATGTGGCTCTAAGTAGGATTTATGTGACAGGTCAGTCTAGTAGCTTGTACTGGATGAGGTAAAGTTATGGGCCTGAAATGAGTTCTATCAGATTTGATTACGGTATGTTTGGAAGAATAATATCGGAAGTCAGGCTAGGATTTGGCTTTGGTTCTTGTTGGACGAAAGAGAGAGCTCCATGACTTGTTGATATGATAAGTGGTTATGAATCTCTATGTGTTTCTTTCATCATTGGCAGTGTACGAAGGTTTTGAATGAGGTTTTATTTGATATGAGTTACTAGTGATATCAAGTTTGTTTTGAGCAACTATTATGGTCAGAAGTTATTGTTGTGAGCGTCTGAGTTATGTGGTATAGCATGTGATTAAATCTTGGGTTATGGTTATGTTTAGTACAGCTTGTTCAGAATTATACAACGTGTAGGAGCGAGATTCGGATCTTATAAGGAATTTCGGATGTTGGAAATTGTGTTTTAAGGTTTTGGGACTAAGGTTGAAGTAAGGATCCTCTGTTAGATGGGTTTGTCGGGCTTATATGGATTGGGATGACGTGGGATCACCCATGGTTATGTGTATGGTGAGGGTATATGACGATTTGATGGCTTTGGAACGACTCTTGGCACGTTCGAGGACGAACGTATGTTTAAGCGGGGAAAAATGTAACGACCCGATCAGTCGTTTTGAGCTTTAGCATTCCATCCGGTAATTTGAGACTTTGAGTAGCTTCATATTATGTATTATGACTTGCGTGTATGATTGGTTTTAGTTTTCAAGTGGTTCAGGATTGATTTGAAGAATAATTCTCGTTTGAGAAGTTTTAAGTTGGAAGAGTTGACCAAGGTTTGACTTTTGGATAAACGGATTTGGAATCGGGTTTTAATTATTCCAGTAGATTTGCGTGATGATTTTTGATATGTCCACAAAGTTTGGTTAAATTACGATGACTTTTGGATAAGTTTGGATTGTATGGTAATTATTTTTTATTTCGACATCAATTCGAGCATAAAAGTTACCATATTGAGCAAACAACCTTTGATTCGTATTTTGACTAAACCATTATATCCGTATCCTAATTTTGGAACAATAGCAACTGAAATCATCAAGTTTCGACATCATATGAGGAATTTAAGATCATTTTACAAAGAATTAGGTTGCCTGATTTTTTTTTAGATTAATTACAAAATTGCCAATGAATTCGTATTTAAAAATCTACATATTTTCGAATATTGAAACCAATATATCTCCTTCAATATAAGGTCAAATGGAGTGATTCAAAAGCCTAACTTGATTGAAATTTTACGAGGAATCTATTGGAGACATCAAAAGAGAGTTTTGGGATGTTTTGGCACAATAAACAAGGCAGAATAGCTGGGCAGAAGCATATAATATCGAGGATTTGTTCATTTGGTCATATTTTGAGTTGGGAAGCTCGAATTTGGGCAATTTCACCACATGGATTGGGGTAAATATTTTATATTCTATTTTAGTTATATTTCATGAATTCATCTTCGTTTCTGGCATTTAATTGATGATTTCAAAGTGAAATTTATGGGGTTTTGTTTAAAATTTCATAAAGTGAATTTTTGAGTTTTGAACATCAACTCGGAGTCGTATTTGAGTGAAACTAGTATGGTTAGACTCATAATTGAATGGATTATCGAATTTTGTAAGTTTTGCCAGATTCTGAGGTGCGGGCCTAGGTTTGACTTTGGGGTTTTTATTAAAAGATTCGATCTTTATCGATTAAGTTTGTTTCTATTGGCATTATTTGATGTATTTGAGTTGGTTTTGGTTAGTTTCGAGCGGTTCGGAAGTTGATACGTGCGAGATAGCTTTTCGGTATTGGATTCAGCTTGTTCGAGTTAAGGAACACTTCTAAACTTGGTGCTGAGGGTATGAACCCCTGAATATACGTGTTATGTGTTTGGTGTTGAGGTGATGCACATGGTATGACGGGCATGTGGGCATGCACCGTGTGAATTATGACTCGGTTGACTCTGTGGTACTGTGTAGTTACCTAATCTTACTTGTATTCATGAAATTTCTCTGTGCTAGAGTAATTGAGTTGTGATCCATGTTAGAACACATGTTTAGGCTATATGCTTATCCTGTTGGGACCCACTGAGGTCATTTCTGCTGTTAAGTTCTTTGCTTAAATCCCAATTACATACTCAATCATATTCATTCATTTGCATATCATACCCCCGTGTCTGTTATCATTCATTGTCACATCGTGTTATCATTGTTTTGGTTGATTGGCATGAGATTTGTGAGTCCGAAAGACTGGAGAGATTGTTGACTGAGTTGGGGTCTGGGGGCCGGATTGAGAGTGATATTGATGGAATTGGGCTACACGTCGCAGCAGGCTCTATGGGCTTTATATTTATTATTGATGGGATAGGGTTGCACGTCGCAGTAGGCCACATTGGCTTTATTATTATTATTATTGTTGTTGTTGTTGTTGTTGTTGTTGTTGTTGTTGTTGTTGTTGTTGTTGTTGTTGTTGTTGTTGTTATGGATCGAGTTGCTCGCCACAGAAGACCCTATGGGTTTTATATATATTATTGATGAGATCGGGATGCATGCCGCAGTAGGCCATATTAGCTTTATATTAGCGCTTAGGCAGGTCTGACATACCAGCAGTGAGCGCAGTTTTTATTGATTCATGATGGAATCGGGTTGTGCGCCATAGTAGGTATCGTACAGTGCTGAGTGACTGAGTGACTGAGTGATTGAGCGTGATGAGTGGGAGTGCGAGACAGTGAGATTGAGTACTCTGAGAGTGTGAGTACATGAGTTCATCACTATGATGCATTGGATTTGACATGTATACTTGACATACATGCATAGAGATATATTTCCTCATGCTACACAATTTTGTGACATTCGGAATTTCACATGCACATTGACATGTAGGCATAGAGATGTACTTTCCGCATGCTATCTCAGATTGAGATATCTTATCTGTTGAAAGTTTTTGTGGAAAATCACAGTTTTCTGTTTTACTCATATTTTGGTGATTTCGGTGAAAGATTTAGGTTTTACTATTATACCTGAAAAGCATGCCTATTTTCCGTAACTGTGAACGAGCTGAGCATCATATCTTTAAGTTATTTCTTGTAATGCTTTTATTATATTGTCATGAGTTGTTTTTGGTTATTGGTGTTGGACTTTGACCATTGTCCAAGCTCGTCACTACTTTCAATCTAAGGTTAGGGTTGTTACTTATTGAGTATATGGGGTCGGTTGTACTCATACTACACTTTTGCACCTTGCATACAGAATTAGGAGTTGATGTTGCTGCTAGTGGTGGGAGCTGGCAATGAAGATGTACCTGCGTTCCGCTTATAGCTGCCTCTTGTTCTTGGTAGCTTTAGATTTATAAATCTGTTTATGTACGTTTCGAACAGATGATGTATTTATTTCACACCAGCTTTGTAAACTCTAAGTCTTACAAGCTCATGATTTATACTACCAATCCTTGAAATTTTTATATAAAAGTTAAGTTATTTCATCACTACGACTAGTTGAATTTTGGGTCGTGACAAGCCAAGAACCGCACATAACGAAATATCTTCAAACCTTTATAAGTTTAAATTCCAACCTTTGACTAGAAGCGCCGAATCAATCTCGGACCATCCGAGGCCTAAAACCAAAAATATGTACAAGTCCAAAATCATTATATGAACCTATTAAAACTTTCAAATCATCAATCCTGAGTCGTTTACACAAACGTCAAATGTCGAGCAACTCTTCCAACTTAGCTTCCAACTTAAGAATTTCTATTTTAAATCACCCCCGAACCTTTCGGAAATCAAAATCAACTAAACCCGCAAGTCATAATACATCATATGAACCCACTTAAGATCTCAAATCACATAACGGATGCTAGAACTCAAAATGACTGGTCGGATCGTTACATTTAAAATATACTACCTTTGAGTCCTAAAAATTCAGTTTTCCTAATAAATATACAAAATTTAGTTGCTTTCAAAGTCTTAAATATTAGAAAATAAATAAATATGTATTCTTAAATATTAAGAAAATAGTTAAATTGCTATTTTATCTAGTATGAAAGCAAATCGGCAAAGGGTAATTGTAACATTATTACCTTTCCTTTTTATTACTTTTCCTTTTAATTTTGGTCCCGGCAAGTCAATTATAACAGCTCATCCTTTTTCGGATGGATCGAGGTGGAAAACCCCGAAGAGAAAAAAGAAGAAGGGATTGAACAAACTTACAATCATTAAAAAAAAAAAAAAAAAAAAAAAAAAAAAAAAAAAAAAAAAAAAGAGGACGAAAAATAAGAAATATAGAGAAAATTAAGGAAAAAATAGCGGTCAAATCTCCAATGGTTAGCGCTGGAAACTAGAAAAGCCAACAAGTGAGAAAATTCAAAAGGGAAGCTTTCCTTGGAAGTTGACCAAATTGACCATTTTAAGGTTCAAACTAGTCAACCTCCTTATAAAACGCTGTGAATCCAGTTTTTCCCTCCAAGTCTTTCTATTCGTATTTAAAAGGTTTTCATCTTTCATAATACTATATATTGTTGTGGTTATTGTCATGAAACTTAATTCATCCATTGACATATATGGTTGATGAGATGTCCACGTTCAGTGCAGGTTATTAATAAAGATGCATTTCTTATATTATAAATGCCAAATGATCTGCAGATTCTTGATTTTGGCATATATATAAGTGCTGGGACTCAACATGGATTCATAGGCAATTTCTGGCATCTGAAACCAAGAAAATAAAATTTGAATTTTCTATCTGTTTTGTGGCAATTTGTGAAACATGTAAATCCCTACCCTACCTGTTACTGCTCGTTATATGATAATTTGAAAAGTTTTTCCCGCAACTTTCAGCGATCAAGAAGCCTATTATCGTTCATGAGGTAAGATATTCACTAATTACGAAACTGATTTGCAGGTTTAAAAGCGTCAAAAATTAGTGAACAACATCAATACTGTAAGCAATGACAAAATTCATTGGTAAATCAGGGAATCAAAGTACAGTAGGAGGTTCATCAAAAGACACAATGTTTGTACAGGCAGACTCGGCTTGCTTTCGAGAAGTTCAACGATTAACTAGAATATCTGATTATGATGAAAATTGCAAAACTGTACCAGCACCAATACGAAGACTTCAAAATCACAAAAGCAACCGATATCTAAACTGCACGAGCGTAGACAATTCCAAAGGCCAAACATAGAGATCGCTAAATCTACTTCACAATTTCAGCCCATCATCATCCCAAGTCCCTATGAATGGCAATCACTAGTATCCATTCCTGAAAATTGCTCGAGCTATATATCAATCCCTTCAAGTTTATCTCTTAGTCATTTCCGTTTAACGCGTCCAAATAAACGAGCTTCTCCATCCGCTGAGATGATCAATAAGGTGGACGAAGAGAGAACCATCAAAGAAAGAAGGTTTTACTTGCATCCATGTCCAAGGTCTAAATATGGAAATGCTGCAGAACTAGAGTTACTCACCTTGTTTCCTTTAACTTCCCCTCGTGAAAACAATGAATCATGATCCATGAGTTGATTGATTCTTTTTTCTTCTTTTTTTTTTTCCAGATAGAAATACTTATTGTACTATTATATCAATTATTTGCATTTTTGTTCACCGAAAACTACAAGAACAGCCAAAATTAGACAATATTTACCAACAATTAACCATTAAATCATGCTACCAAAAATAGCTATAAAAAGTTACCAATGATATACAACATTTAAATAACCTAGCTAGTAAAAAAAAAATTTAATGGGTATGGTTATAGTTCGTCGAAAATACATGAATAAGGCAATATACAAAATCTGAGAGAGATTGAAGATGACTTGGACCGGCTTGGAGTCAAAATACAACATTAAAAAAACCTAGGAAAAAAGTTTTTTTAATGGATATGCTTGATATTCATTTGAAAACACATAGATGCGGCAATATATAAACTTTGAGGAAGATTGGAGGTGTTGGACTGATTTAGAATCAAAATTTGTTGAAATCGAGTTTAAAATTTTCACTGCAACGTATATATCTAACATGCTTTTCACATTTATCTCACGCATAGATTTACATGGATATATAGATGATACAAAAAGGATACACATTTGATACATATAGCTGGATACACAAATGATACACTAGAGATACAATGAGATACACATATTATCTTCTTTTATGTTCATTTTCTATTTCGAATTTGGCTAAAATTTCAATTCAAATCTCCCCAAAATTGAGATTCAAACTCATTAAGATGTTCTTAATCTATTCCAACAACATCCACCCAAAATAAATTTTAATTTTGTAGACCGAAATTTTTAAATTCAAGCTTAAGCGAGCTTTAATGACTTCCTATAGCTTTTTTCAATATAATTCTAGGATTCAAACCAACAAACTAATGTTTAAAAGTGATTTCAAGATCAAATAAGCAACTTATATCACTTTTGTCTCTAGTTAATATCTCAGACAAAACGAACAACCAAACTTTAGAGATATAGCAAGACTTAGTCCTTTTCAATACAATTCGTTGGTCAAACAAAGGAGGACACACGTGGCTATTTAATATTTGGAGTGGTTGACTGGATTATTTAATATTATTTTTAAGGCGAAGAGGATGCCGTATGAGTGGAGGTGGAGTATGGTGGTTCCATGTATAAGAACAAAGGTGATATTCAGAGTTGTAACAATTATAGGAGTATCAAATTACTGAGTCATACCATGAAAGTGTGGGAGAGGGTGGTTGAAGCGAGGGTGAGGATGACAGTGTCTGTATCTGACAACCAGTTCGGGTTCATGCTAGGCCGTACTACTACAAAAACTATACACCTTGTTAGGAGGTTGGTGGAACTGTACAGAGAGAGGAAGAAGGATCTGCACACGGTGTTTATTGACCTAGAGAAAGCGTATAACAAGGTTCCTAGAGAAGTTCTCTGGAGATGCTTGGAGGCGAAAGATGTGTCAGTTCCCTACATTATGGCGATTAAGGACATGTATGATGGGGCTAAGACTTGGGTTAGGACAGTAGGAGGCGACTCTAAGTATTTTCCAGTTATAATGGGATTACACCAAGGTTCTGCGCTCAATCCGTTCTTATTTGCCCTGGTGATGAACGTGTTAACACACCATATTCAAGGGGAGATACCATGGTGCATGTTATTCGCCGATAGACATAGTTGTGATTGATGAGTCGTGAGCCGGTGTTAACGAGAGGCTGGAGGTTTGGAGACATGCTCTTGAGTCTAAGGATTTCAAGCTGAGCAGGACGAAGACGTAATACCTGGAGTGTAAGTTTAATATTGAGCCGACGGAAGTGGGCATGGATGTAAGGATTGAATCACAAGTCATCCCAAGTAGAGGCAGCTTCAAGTACCTTGGGTCGATTATCCGAGGGTATGGGAGATCGGTGAGGATGCCACACACCGTATTGGGGTAGGATGGATGAAGTGGAGGTTAGCATCTGGAGTCTTGTGTGACAAGAGAGTGCCACCGATACTCAAAGGTAAGTTCTATAAAGCGGTGGTTAGACCGGCCATGATGTGTGGGGCTGAGTGTTGTCCTGTTAAGAGCTCACTTATCCAGAAGATGAAAGTAGCAAAAATGAGGATGTTGAGGTGGATGTGCGGGCATACTAGGATGGATAAGATTAGGAATGATGATATTTGAGAGAAGGTGCACGTAGGACGTGGCTCCCATTGATGACAAGATACGGGAAGCGAGACTCATATGGTTCGGCATGTTCATAGAAGAAGCTCAGATGCTCCGGTAAGGAGGTGTGAGCGGCTGGTTGTGGAGGGCACGAGAAGAGGTAGAGGGCGGCCTAAGAAGTATTGGGGAGAGGTGATCAGGCAGGATATGGCGAGGCTTCAGATTTCCAAGGACATGACACTTGATAGGAAGATGTGGAGGTCAAGTATTAGGGTTGTACGTTAGGAGGCAGTTGAGTCTTGTCTTACTTCATACCTTCGTGAGACTAGTCTGGTAGGGTTTTTGTCTAAGATAGCTAGTGGCAATGTTGTGTCTTATTATTTCGCTTTTCAGTGCAGGACCTATTTACTACCTATTGCTTTTGCTTTGCATCTTTCTTCTGGATTTCATGTTGTTATTATTTTTCCTATGATTTCTATGGTGATACTAATATTGTCTCCTTTTGTCTTTTTGTTTTCTTGAGCCGAGGATCTTTCAGAAACAGCCTCTCTACTCCTTCGGGGTAGAGGTAAGGTCTGCGTATACACTACCCTCCTCAGACTCCACTAGTGGAATTTTACTGGATTGTTGTTGCCGTATAATTATATTTTTGTGCAATGAGTATAATAACGCATTGGATTAACATCCTGCCGAGAAAGGGAACACTTAGTGATAAAGCTAAAGAAATGGCTGAATTAAGAATGGAAGAAAAATAACCACATGCTTTAGTTTTTCTAGAATCCTAATTTGATGTTAAAGATAAATATTTAGTATTGGAGTGAAGAGGGGGCACAGCATCAGGTAGGCTACGCGAGGATAAAAAGGGGGAGGAAGGAGGTAGACTAAAGAGAGAAGCATACAAATAGTCAATTGTGCATTAGTAGTGCTTTTATGAAATTTTTCTTTAAGAAAGTGATTTTGCAGTTCTGGCTCGTAAGTTCACATTTACAGCAAAGAATATTTATACATGTAGACGTGCAAGACATGTCTCTACTTATAGTATCGAAAAGAAAAACTTTTTGCCCATCAACTTAAATTCAAAATGGCTTTAATTTCTCAAGAAAAACAAACACTCAAGAACGGTTTGGAATTAGTATTATTATAACTGCAGCTGATTTGTGAAAAAGAGACTAGTCTTTTCTTTTGAAGGATTCTTGAGGCAAAAATGAGACTGTTAAGTTAGTCCCCATAGCAATCAAAAAAAGGATGCAGAGCAACTATAACGAAAACACAGCCTTTTTCTCCCTTGGGAAGCTTACAAAATGGCATACCCAAGCGGAAAAACAAGTTAATCCTTCTAACCGAGCAATAGAGACATACTACTTCTAGCCCTTGTAGATCAAAAGTTAGCATTTTGTTGATATTATATTTTCTAAAGCTTCTGCATCAAATCTGATATACATGTAGGGGTTTGTTCCTTTTCAGTCTGTCAGGCACTGATCATTCTTGTTTTCTATCATTGTTTCACTCGCTGAATCTTCTTGATCGGAGTATTCATCATCATGGCCAGTGTCTGTACATTCTCCCCCCTTCAAATCTTTGTTATTATCAGTTTGAGAAGTTGAAAGAGTATCTACAAACTCAGCGCATGGCACTATACTCTTTCCAGAAGGTGAATCCGCAGAGCTTAAGTCTTCCTGGTCAGTCCGCAGTCGAGTTTTGACAAGGTAATGTGCCACAGATTTGTAACCAAGACGAATTACCTGGAAACATGTGTATTTTCTTGTGTAAAAATCCCATCTCTTTTTTCTTTTTTGGGATAAGCATTTCAATTTTATTAGCATTGAATGCTTCAACCCCTTAAATCCACTACCCCTAAACCCAAACTTATATGTATAGACTATAGAGAGAGAGAATACCCCTTTCCCAGTGGAATGAATTCAGAATAAAAAGCCAATGAAGGTCACCTTTCTATAAATAGCACCAGTTGGTGCATACCCCTTTTCGCGTCTGCATCGACTGCAATTACAGATTCCTCGGCAGACGGGGCAAATCCAGTTTGGATTTTCATTTGCTTCAATGACATTCTCCCCATACCTACATAATTTAACCCAAAAAAGTTTTCAGAAAATGGGGGATAAATCATCCACTGTGTGAACGACAACTATTCTTGCTTGTGTTCTTATATCATTGGGAATGTATTGCCAGCACCTTCTCATAAGTATGGTTCCAAAAGGAAATTCCATTTTATTTTGTCAAAGACAGTAAACAAGCTTAAGTTTAAAAATCTATGGGAGGATAAAATACTGTAGGCATTAAGATCATCAAAAAATGTACTTTTGAAGTAACAACCATGGTCATATGAATTCAGGACAGAAAATTAGCTAGAAATGAAAATACTGCAGAAGAAAGGCGAAGAGGATTTCATTCGTTATCACCTCATGCACAGGCAATCTCCACAGAACTGTCCTTGAACCAGCTTGCACTTGCTGCACTCAGTGTGTTGACCAAGAGTTTTCTGCCTGCAATTGCATCAAGTATCTCTAGGTTACAATTTAATATCAAGCAATAAAACAAAACAAGAGAAGGTTAGATAGATTCCTGTTGATTGTACAAAGAAGGATGTTATCCTGAAGTTGGCAGCAGAGCTTATTATATATAAATTCTAAGTAAAAGCGAATGCGGAATCAAAGTAACTCTGCAATAATGACGAAGACACCTGTTTGATGTCACTTTAAGACGGGTGTCAATTGTCATCAACAAAATGGTTTCTGCTCTAAATGAATACAACACATTAGGATATCAAAAAATTAAGTTGATATGCAAGCATCTGCGCTACAGATTGCACAGCCGTAAGCAGATACATAATCTCGGAGTTCTACTGCAATATTCAAGCCAGAAGTTCATAA